AGGCTCCACTTGCAGGGAGAAAGTACCAGAAACCCACATCAGCCCTTTGCCTGGGAGGCTTTGTTTGAGCCCAGATCAGGACAGTCGTGTGCCCTGCCTTCCCTTATGTGTTCTTGCCTCCATCTCAGCCTGGAGTTGCTGCTTTGTGCCTGTCAGTTGACCACTGAGGAGGTAAAGGGATATGTTGAATTTGCTTGGAGCCCTGGTGACCAGAAGGTGGGGAGTTCTCCTTAGGAGACAGTGTGAATGTGTTTTCCATTGGTCTGTCAAGCCCTCCCCAGCCTGCTGCTCTCATCTGGGCCCAGGGGCACCTATGTCTAGGTCTTTGTCAGAATCTTTGCAAAAACCATTTTTGGGCTCGGCGCCCATAGCTCAGTGGTTCGAACCCAGCCTGGGCCTGCCAAACAATGACAACTGCAACAAAAAAATAGCCGGGTGTTGCAGCAGGTACCTGTAGTCCCAGCTACTTGGGAGGCTGAGGCAAGAGAATCACTTAAGCCCCAGAGTTTGAGGTTGCTATGAGCCGTGATGCCTCAGCACTCTAACGAGACTATCTAAAAAACAAACAAACAAACAAACCATTTTCACCCTTTGCCAGCACTCTTGTGAAGACAACAGCTAGATGAAGGTTCTGGAGTCACAGTGTGGCTGTGTGCTGGACAGGAGGGGTTCCACTGTCAGGCTGCACACTTCCCAAATGCAAATCTTTCTGAGAGGAAGAGCCCTCCCCCCCCACCATGGTTCACACATGCTGTTTAATGCAATTCTCACCATGCTGTGAGTTGGGGGTTGCCACCCTGTTTTCCAGATGAGACCAAGACCTGGAAGATTGTGACCCTGTGCAGGTGGCAGGGGCAGGGTTGAGAAGGAGGTCCATGGAGGCCCTACCCCAAACATGTGGAAGTGTGGGCCAAGGTCTGCCCGGGGTTTTGGGCGTGGAGCTTCTGGGCAGTTTTTGTGTGATATCTCTAGCTCCTTCTCTCGCCTACATTATTCAGTGTCAGGTGGGTCCTGGGAAGACTCTACTCTTGCACTAAATGAAGTGAGAGTTGCCCCTGCAGGCCTGCCCGTGCCACACCTCGTACCCGCCCACAGTCCGGGTCTCGGGTGTGTCAAAGCGCTCTCTCACCGTGTGCTTGTCCCTTTGCAGCACGACGCTATATTTGGGATCCTTAACAAAGTGAAGCCCTCCTACAAATCCTGTGCTGACTGCATGTACCCTCCAGCCAGCGGGGCCCCCGAGGCCTTTGGGGAGCGATGTGAGGACCCCTCTGCCCCTGCCATCTGCACCCAGCCCGCCTTCCTGCCCCATGTCACGTCTTCCCCTGTGGCCCACACAGCCAGCCGGCCCCGGTTCCAGGAGAAGCCAGCGTCTGGCCCCACCGAAACCCCCCAACTCCTCCCACCAGCAGGCTCCAGGAGGCCAGACACCAGTGGTTCTGGGGCTTCCCCAGGGCTACCAGCCAGTCTATTGGAACCTTCTAGAGAGACCCTGAAAGTCCTGCCAAAGTCCCTCTTTTTGAAGAATTCTCACTGTGATCAGAGCCCTCCCAGCATGGAAGTGGTGAAGGAAGAGCCATCACCCAGGAAAGATGCGAAGCCTGCTAAGGACCTTAGGCTTCTGTTCAGTAACGAGGGTGAGAAATCCATGACCAACAGCTACTTGATGCAGCACCAAGAGTCTATCATCCAGCTGCAGAAGGCAGGCCTGGTCCGCAAGCACACCAAAGAGCTAGAGAGGTTAAAGAGCACACCTGCAGACCCGGCCACTCCCTGCAGGGACTGCACAGCTGGCAGGCTGGAGGCCAGTGTCCCCGAGGAGACCCAGGATCCCGCAGCCCTCCAGGAGCCAAGTCCCCTGCCATTCCCCAGCCCAGGCGGGAGCGATGAGAAATCAGAGGCTATCCCCCTACCCTTGGAGGGAACCTCACTGAAGAGCCCCCCTCCCTTCCTCTGCCGCCTGGATCATACCAGTAATTTCTCAAAAGACTTTCTGAAGACCATCTGCTACACCCCCACCTCCTCTTCCATGAGCTCCAACCTGACTCGGAGCTCCAGCAGCGACAGCATCCACAGTGTCCGCGGGAAGCCTGGGCTGGTGAAGCAGCGCACCCAGGAGATCGAGACCCGGCTGCGGCTGGCAGGCCTCACCGTCTCATCCCCACTGAAGCGCTCACACTCACTTGCCAAGCTTGGGAGTCTCAACTTCTCCACGGAAGACCTATCCAGTGAGGCCGACCCATCTACCATCACTGACTCCCAAGATGCTACGATGAGCGAGTCTTCCTTCTTGCGTGAGCCCCAGGTCCCCCCAAGGAACGCATCTGCAGTCTCCAAACCATCAGGGAAATCTGCCCCAGAAAACTTGAAGAGCCCCACCTGGAAGAGCAAGAGCTGACCCGCCTTCCGCTTCACAGGGACGTACGTCTTCATGATTCCTCCCGTTGTCATTTCACTATGGATTTGGGTCAGCCCCTTACATCTCGATTTCCCGTAAACAACTGAAGTCATCCTAATTTTCCCCCATCTTGGCACAACGAGGAGGAGAAGAAACAAAAATAACTTAACATGTGGCACAAGAAGAAAGGGGGGCTGTCAGCTGTGTGGCCTGGGGGAGCCAGAAACCATCAGCCAGCAGACACAGGACTCTCTGCTCCCAAGTCCTGTGTCTTCAAGAAAAATCACGCTTTGAAAAGAATGTGCCCAGACACACACCCACGTCCAAACTTCTCCATTCACAGCCTGCAGAAGAAGAGTTGTGGCGATGCCATTGCCACAGCAGACGTTCTAGCTCAGCCTGGCCCTCTCAGAAAACTTGGATGACAACATAAGTCCTACCTCTGTTCTTGCTGTGCTTTTTATTTTTAAAATACAAGAACAACCAAGGGAATAATGCTGTGTTAGAAAGGGTTTTTCCCAGAAAAAAAAAAAAAAGAATTTTCTCTTGTTCTGTTTTTGGGGGGTTTGTTTTGTTTTGTTTTCTTTTGGTTGGGACCCCAGATGTGTCAAGACTCTTAACTGCCCCAGGCAGGGCTTGGTAACCCCCCATGCTGTGATTGAGCTCACTCTGTGCTGAGTGGCAGCAAAAGCTCACTCTCCCCTGGTTCTGTTGTTACAGCTGAGCTATGTGTGTTTGACCAGCACAGGGAGGGCAGGTGGGGAAAGTGTGTGTGGGGGTTTCAGTTGTTGCTAGTGCTGAAATTCAGAGCGCTCCTAGTGGAAGGGAGGGACCCACCCAGCGTTGCTGATCCCCACCTGCCGCTGAACTGGACTTGCTTACCTTTATTTAGGTTTTAAAAGTGCCCAAGTGTCCGGCAGGAGCGGTGGTTCTGAGGCAGGGTTCATCCTGCTGGGAGCCTGGACCCTGAGGTTCATTAGGCCCATCTCTTCATGTCTGGGGAGAGAAGGAGACTTCAGCAGTGAGAAACTTTATCATTCCTTCTCCAGCAGCAGCTGGAGAAGATTGAGGCTGTGAAAAGGCTTCACAGATGTTTACAGTTGCCCCTCGCTGCAGTGAGAATACTGCTTCCTGTTTCTCTCCATCTCCTCTGCAGCCAGGACAGGGATCTGTAAGCCCCGCCTGGCCTCTGTAGGTGGCCCCTGTCAGGACCAGGTGAGCTCATCCTCAGGCTCTAGACTTTGGTCAGAGGGCTACTCATCTGCTGTCTGTCAGCAAGGCAGAATGTTAAAACGTTTTGAAGAGAGAACAGCACTTCAGTAGACAGGCAGGAAGGCTGAATTCAGGGAATTAGCAAACTATAATGTATGGCCCATGAGCTAAAAAAGGAAGAATATGTGACAGACTGCATGGCCTACAAAGCCTAAGATAATTTTCTTTTTTTTTTTTTTTCTTTGAGACAGAGCCTCAAGCTATTGCTCTGGGTAGAGTGCGGTGGCATCACATCTCACAGCAACCTCCAACTCCTGGGTTTAAGTGATTCTCTTGCCTCAGCCTCCCAAGTAGCTGGGACTATAGGCACCCACTACAATGCCCAGCTATTTTTCAGTTGTAGTTGTCACTGTTTGGCAGGCCCCGGGCTGGATTCGAACCTGTGAGCTCTGGTGTATGTGGCTGGCACCTTAGCCTCTTGAGCTACAGGCACCAAGCCAAGCCTAAGATATTTGTGTCAGGTCCTTTGTAAAGAAAGTTTGCTGATCCCTGGTTTTATTTGACAACACAGGGCTCCCGCTGGCCCTGCAGAAGAAACAGGGCAGATTTGAAGATGTGCTCTGCCTGACCCTTCCCTCCTCCCGACTCCAGGCCTTCCAGCCCATACCAACTTGCCTGTCTCATGCAAGATGGAGTAGTTTATGTAGGGGACTCCGTTTAGGGGCATTGTTGGCCGGAGCTTTTCACAATGCCATCTTGCCCTCAGCTGGGTCTGCTAGATTCTGAAAGTGTGACCACGTTGTATTGGTCACAACTAGGTGCCCAGAAGCAGGCCATTCTGGAAAGCACCCGGACAGGGACTTGAGGAACTTGGCAAGTTCATATTTCAACCAGAAAACTTCTGCAAAAACCCTTTCTTCTGGAACTTTTTCTCCCTTATATAATGATTCTTCTTTTTTAAAAAATTGTACTTGATTTTACTTCATAGGAATTTGTTTTTCCACTGATGTCAATTGAAAGCACCTTAAAAGATGATTATGCACTTATTCCTGAAACCCCTGTGGATCCTCTCCTCCCCCACCCCCCCACTCCCCAGCCAACAAGAGCATGGTCTCAAAAAAATACCAAATTCAGTATGTTTTGCCAAATTAAATGTTAAGGGATAGATCAGTTTTTGTGTCAAAATAATCCCTTAAATTTTGGTGATGACTGGCTTATGTTGGTTTGTTAACCATGTCTGTGTATGAGGGTGATATATTTTTGAAAACTTTTAATTTTGAAAGCCATAATTTTTCTTACCAGTTAAAGAGTCAGGGTGAGGGGGAGGATTACAAATATAAGTGGGTCTTTTGGCAAACCTATACATTCATTTTCGGGAGCACAGCTTGTATATCAGCATTTAAAGAGACCAGGGCATTAGTCCCCATATTCAGAGCAAAATAAAGCATCCTTGAATTGATGGTTACTACACTGGCCTGGAGAAAAGGTTAAAGAGTTTTCTTGGAGCCCCCAAAAAGCTTCACACAGAAACATGGCTAATTACTATTTAAAATATTATACAAACAAGACAAGAGCCGAAATACCAGGCTTGAGGGTCACCTTGGCAAAGACAAATTCATAGTGGTTTTGGAAAAGAACGTTTTCCCCCATCAGATATATCTCATAGCTCAGCCAATGCTTTATGTGTAATCTTAGCTGGTAGAGAAAACTCCAAACATAAGTGGCACAAGAAAGAAGCAGGCAGAGGTTTTTGCTGTGCAAGTCTTTGATTGTTTTTGTGTGTAACTGTCATTTTCATTGAATGCCTTTGTTGATTAGAGAAAAAGGAAAATTTTCTGAATCAGCTTGATACCCTGTGCATCCCACTGAATTTCACCGTTCACCTCACCTGAATTCATGTGGCATGCCAATTGAACTTTGCTACCATCTTTCCCCTGTGATGATCAAGGAAGGTCTTTTCTTTGAATTTTGTCAAGTGCAAGAGGGCTGGTGGTCACAGAAAGGAAGAACCAGGCTGCCCTCTGATCATAATTTGATCGTGCCGATTGCCATTGCTTTATCTTATAGCTACTTCAGGGTCTTCCAGCAATGTCCTGGGTGCATAAACTTTCTAAAAACATGGTCTCTTTCTCTCTGCATCCCATGTCTGCCTCCTTGCTGTCATGCAGGGACCTCTGCCAACCTCTGGATGGCAAATCCTTCTCTGTGGCACCCTGTTGCTCAAGCATGCAGATTACTTGCCAGGTGCATAGGAACAGCCCCACTGTCCAAGTCCCCTTCTGCTCCCTTCTGCTAAAGAGGATCCCAGGCTGTTCTGCTTCCCTTTTCTCCTGGATAAGGCCAGAGAATGGAGCTGAGCTTGAGTAGAATAGACCTTCAGGACAGCCTTGTCCTTCTGTACTTGTGCCTCAGGGCCAGCCCATCCTGGAAGGTTGGTGAGTCCTGCTCCCCCCTCTGGGGACCATGTCTCCCTCCTGGGAACAAATGCTGCATCATTTAGTCAAGAGATCATATTAAGTAACCTTGCCTGAGGCATCTGAAGAGGGAATTGCTTTCTGTTGTCTGGAAATTCTCAGTGCCAGAATCCATTTCACACAACCCTGCCTGGTGGCTGGCCACCTAGCAGGGCTCCCCCAAACACACCACCCAGGGAGATCACCCACTTCACCTCTGGCAGGAGAGCAAGTGGATCAGAAACCTGGTGGCATCTAGACAGCACAGCACAGGTTCAGTTGTGCTGGTTCCACCGCCCAGGCTCCTGGCCATGTCACAGGCCAAATAAAGGCCATTGATTTTACCTGTTCCCAGCCACTTGTTTGGTCACTGCCTGCTCTGTAATTGACTACCTATGTGTGTGAGTTCACTCGGCCTGTATACATTTGAATATATAGAACTCGAGTTCACATTTCCCTTTCATCCACACGCATGCCACCGTCACCCAGCTCCAGAGTGAGTCCCAGTGACCAATCTGGAGAGGCTGCCTTGTTCTTGTTTTGATTAAGTGCTGCGGCCCTAGGCTTCCGTCACTCTCTCTGGACAGGTGTCTGATAACCAGAGCACCAGTCAGTCCTCTGCTGTTCTTTCCGTCAGCCTTGCTGTATGAGAAGATAGCTGCTTCCTCCCTCCTTCCCTACACTGTAATTATTGTTTTACAATTGAGTGCCTTAATAATAGTTTACAAATACTATGTATTTATGTGAAACGGTTAAACTCTCTCATCTTTTGTGATTGGATACTTTGTCTCGTGGGTCGTGATTGGCATTAGGACCTTAGCTTGTCCTACTCCATGTATGTCTGTGTTTATTCTGCTATGCAGTTTTTACATGGTGTGTTCGCAGCTGTTCCAAGGAGCCTTGCTAGAAACAGCACTGGTAAGTGGTACAGCTCTCTTAGATTTATCTAGCAGGTTTTCTGGTCCTCGCCAGAAGACTCCCATGCAAAAAAAGAAAGATAGGAAGTAAAGAACAGCACTGGTAGTTCCTGCGTGCGAGGCAGAGATTGGCGCTTTTCCCATGGGGACCAGCGAACATGATTTGGTTTGTTAGCCGGCTGACCGGGTGACCTCTGAACCAGAGCCCAGCATCTCTTCCATTCCCCTAGTTACAAAATTGTACTCTTGTTTAATGGAGATTTTGTTACCACCTAGGCTACCCCATTTTCCCTCTCCATTAGAGTCCTGAGCTCTTTTGCAACAAAAAGTAGGTACAGACCAAACCTCCTCCCCCCCCAAATCAGGAGCCCCATGAAACGAGCTGTTCTTCGTTTTTTTGTGTGTGTTTTTTTTTTTTTGGAAGCTGCTGGTGGGTTCCCGTGTGTTGCATTACAATATCAATGATTTTTTTATTATATTGTTTTTCTTCTTGTTTTTTTTATATTCTATATTTAAAAGGCAGTATCTTTTGTACTGTGAATTTGCAGTAGAAGATGCATAATGCACTTTTTTTTTTTTACTTCTGTTGGTGTGTATTGTATATAGTGTGTGTGCTTCTTGTGATGGAAATAAACTTTTTCTTTATAAATGCCTGATGATTGTGACTTTGTACAAAAGGAAACTGCCCCTTTAACCTTGCCAAGACAGTGTGACACTACATCATCATCATGTCCAGTCTCTAGAGAGTGCCTGGTGTATGCTCAGCACTATGCTGGGAAACCTGGACAGGTTAGACCAAAGAAAGAAATAACTAGTTCCCCCCAGGAATAGTCTTTTTCTTTCTGATTTTGTCAGTAAGCAAGAGCACCCCACTTGTGGGTGGTCCTTTGTGTACTAAAAGAATGCAAAAGAATGTTACCCACCAGAACGGGAATTGGACTTGGGGTGGGTTCTCTTCTGTGACAATTAAGAAAGCCAAAGGTAAGCTCTAGAGCAGCAGTCCCTAACCTTTTTGGCACCAGGGACCGTTCTCAGGGTACAGAGTTTTTCCACGGATTGCGGGGGAGGATGAGACAGGACGCAGAGCTCAGGCATTAATGGAAGCAATGGGAAGTGGCTGTACATACAGCTTCTCTCCCTCACCTGCAGCTCACTTCCTGCTGTAAGGCCATGGACTAGAAGCTTTTTGGTCCCAGGAACCTATTTCATGAAAAACAATTTTTCTCCATGGATGGAGGATGGTGGGGATGGCATTAGGTAGGAGGCAGAGCTCAGGCAGTGATGCTGTGCAGCCTGGTTCCTAACAGGACTAGTACTAGTCCATGGCCCTGCCATTGGGGACCACAGCTCTAGAGAACATCTAAGCTTCTCCCACTACATCCGGTGCCAGAGGACTGTGGAGACTACTGCTGATTGCCAAGGTGTAATCCCAGGAAGTCTCAGCCACTGAACACAACACAGGTTTACCTCGTGTTCATATCATAGTCCACTACATACCAGGCAGCTTTTGGTGGCCCTCCTCAAGGGTGACTCAGGAAGCAGGGCTGTATCCATCGTAAAATGCTGCCATCTTGGAGTTCTTTGCCTCTAGCTGAGCAGCCAGAGGAGGAAGCAGGGGGAACTCACGTTGGTTCTCATCGGCTTTTGTCTGGGTGCTGTACAACAAGACCTGGTCTTAGTGGCCCCATCCCAAGAATCTGAGAAGCTAAGAGATGGATAGGTCACACGTATTGGTAAGCAAGGACTGCCACAAGTGGTTGGACATGACCACTAAATTCCAGCGCCTACGTATCCAGGAAGTAGTTTGTTCACGTCACCTAGACTTGCTCTGTCAACTTAGACTCACAAGAGACTGACGAATAAATTCAAA